GAGCCACATGGTGGGAATTGGGACATCTCTGTCCTAGTTTCTCCATCTGAAAAATAGAGGGTAAAGGTTTCTCTTGTGTGATCCTGATTGACCTTGGGGGTGGGGGCTCCTATCACTTTGGAAATTACGTCTCATTTCCTGGAACCAGGAGGAAAGCTGCAGAGTTTGAGTGGCCCTGCTATCAAGGCTAATTTAAGTATTTATTCTGAGACTGACAGCCTAGCCATCCCCAAATGCTCCCTGTCCATCAGGGTCTCCCAGATAAAAGGGATGAACATATTTCTGCTTAGGTCAAAAACCAAAGCCCCTCTTCAGAACCTAGTCATTAGTTAGTCTACCTTATGTACCACATCTATTTCAACGCTTCCTGTAGTTTCTTTCCTAGCTACCTTCACTCTCATTCCCAACGTCCTGGCAACTAAGAAGTTTGGAAAACTTTACTCACAAAAAAATTTCTTATCCTCTCCCCCTTTCTTTCTTTCTTTTTTTCCTTCTTTTTTGTTATTGCTTTCTTGATATCCCAACAACTGTGACTACAGTTTAAGCCTTATTGTTCAGTTTTAGCCTGAAATTGTTCAACTGATCTTGCTTCTGTTTGAATCTACTTGAATCAGTGTGCCACACAGTACCAGAGTGATTACCCTAAAATGCAAATATGTTCCTTTCACTGCTAAAGTCCTTCAAGTACTCCATGACATTGTTAAAAAAGAAAATGACTGGGCCTCCCCGGTGGTGCAGCGGTTGAGTGCTGGATTACAAAGCTGCCTGCAGCTTCTGCAATGCCGGTTCGATCCCCGGCCAACAGGCAAGGGTCCCACATGGCGCACAGACCTCTCCTGATGCGCCCGCTGCTCCCCTCAGCAGTGTATTTCATCAGTCTGCCTGCTCTGCTCTGCTCTGCTCTGCTCTGCTCTCCACTCTGCCTCTGGTGAATTCTCTCACCCTCCCGCGCTTCTGACTGTACCCAGTGCTTGTATAAACAAATAATAAAAAAAAAATCTTTTAAAAAAAAGAAAAGAAAATGACTGGCCCAAAGCAGAGACACTTGTACTAAACCCACCAAGCATAATACCGAGTCCAGCTATACTTTCAAGCCCCCTGCTGTTACAATCTGCCGTCTTACTAGCCAATACAGAATTTTCTGGTCAGCACCAATGAGCTCATCTTTTCTACTTCCCAAAGGAAAATGAGATAATCTACCTCAAGACCTTTTTCCATTCTTCACGCGTAGTTACCTAAGCCTGAAATAATTCCTTCTTCCCTCTTTCTGCCTAGTAATTCCTTCCTGTCCTCTTTCTTTCTTTCTTTCTTTTTTTTTTAAAGATTTATTTATTTATTTATTTATTTATTTATTTATTTATTTATTTATTTATTTATACATACAAGCACTGGGTACAGTCAGAAGCGCAGGAGGGTGAGAGAATTCACCAGAGCCAGAGCGGGGAGCACAGCAGGCAGAAGGACCAAAGTACACTGCTGAGGGGAGCAGCGGGCGGCAGGAGAGGTCTGCGCGCCATGTGGGACCCTCCTCTGGTGGCCGGGGAGCAGCCGGGGATCGAACCAGCGCTGCAGAGGCTGTGGGCAGCTTCACAACCCAGCGCTCAACCGCTGTGCCACCGGGGATGCCCTGTCTTCTTTTTGTCTAATAAAAACCTTTCATTTTGTATAGCTTCTGGTAGTCCCTTTCCAACTTGCTAGATGGGATGCTACTGTGATTCATTCAATAAACCAACTAGATCTTAAAATTTAATTCAGTTGGATTTTTGTTATTTAACAACATGATAGGAAAAATTCTAAGCACCCTAGTATAGCAGGCAACATCTTCCAGGTTCTGGTTCTGCAGCCTCAGCTGTTCGTATTTTGTGCTTCACCTGCCCCGGGGCTTGTGGGTGCTCAGGATTCTGTGTGCGCCTGTGAGCCTGTGATTTCTGCAGGGCAGAGCCTTGTATCACTTACTCAGATCAGAGATACCTTATTACAGGAAGCCCAGGGAAGCCAGGAGGTCCCCTGACTTCTCTCCTACAACTATTCTTGGTCAGTGGCTCCTCCTTTGTATTCATCAAGAACACTCTGCTTATCTCTGTCATGATATTTGTTACTGTTCTGAAATAGTCTCTTAATATATTTATCTCTCCAACTAACTCCTTCTTGATAGATGGTGTATACAGTGGAAATCCACAATATACTAAATTAAATTGATTTTTGATCTTTTGGAACTTACAATAACACCAAGCTTTTTCCTGCATCAAGGTCTTTACATAATTTAGTTCTGTCTGGAAGTTTCTCCCCACATTTTATTTCCTACATACCCATGCCAAAAATTCAAATTATTTATGAAGGTAACATAGCTAATGGTTAACAGCCCAGGTACTGATGTCAAGGTGCCTGATTTCAAAATGCAAAATGGGTGACCTCAAGCAGTTTTCTCACTTTGTATATGCATTCATGCCTTAGTTCCTTATTTGTAAAATGAGGTTAATAATCCTGGTTATGGGGGCCTCACTGGTGGTACAGGGATTAAAGTCTCAGCTCTATCAAGCTATCACCAGCCAGTGCAGCATGAGTTCAATCCTGGGCCAGGGAGCAGGCCCACATGGCCTCTCCTATCTCGCCCACTGCTCCCCTCAGCACTGTATGTCAGTCAATTCGCCTATTTTGTTCCCCACCCTGTCTCTGGTGAATCCCGTCACCCCTCCCTCCCTTCCACACCTTTGGCCTACATCCCAGTTCTTATATGCATAAATAAATAAAACTAAATCTTGGGGGCTTCCCTGGTGGCACATGGGTTAAAGACATAGCGCTATCAAGCTATTGCCAGCTACTGCAGCACAAATCTGATACCTGGCCGGCCAGGAAACAACCCATGTGGCTCAGCAGACCTCACCTGTCTCTCCTGCTGCTCCCCTCAGCAGTGTATTTCAGCAGGTCTGCTTGTTCTGCTCCCTACTCTCTCTGGTGAATCCACTCTCCCCCTCCATACCTTTGGCTTACACCCCAGTTCTTGTATGCATAAATAAATCTCTAAAAAATAAATTAAAAAAAAATCCTGGTTATGAGGATTAGTTAAATGAGATAATGTGAGATAATTAGTTAAATGAGATATCTCATTTATGCCTAGCATGTAGCTAATATTTATGCCTAGCATGTAGCTAATATTTATTGCTCTCTATTATTATTTAATTATTGAATGTCTTTTCACTATAAGCTCTAAGACGTCAGGGGCTCTGATGTTTTCTTTACTATTATATTCCAGTGCCCAGCAGGGCATATAGTAAGTACAACTAAATTCATGTAACCTGAAAGACTGAATAAATGACAACTCTTACCTTCGAGCGCTAATTGAAGACAAATAGGAAACTGTGACTGATTAAGGGCACACAGTGGCTTTCTTTAACCAATGACTAACTTCCTAACCCCTAGATTCACTTGGCTATTTATTTAACCAAGCACCTCTTTTTTTCTTTAAATAAAGACAAGGATAGAAGTTAGATGGATGCAGTTACTGCTGAATTTTTTATTAAAGCATGGGCTCTTGTTTACTTCATTCAGAACTGAGAGCATTGTGTCCAGGGTTGACTCGGAAATTACTGGAAGAAACATGCTCAAGTTAAGGTGACCTTGCTCCCAGAGAACAGAGGGAATCTTAGTATAAGGAGAACAAATGACAAGCAGTATCAAAATAACAAGGTGATATCGGCAGCTATTCAAGCAGGTTAAACTCCAACAATGTCTTGAAAGGTATTTTCAATGGAAACCTTAGCTTCACCCAGCACAAACCATCTTTTGAAATTAGTAGTTTAGACTAATATAGTAGTGCAGAGAGGAAAGAACAACTTTCTACCTTTTAGTAGGGAAAAATGTACAGCTCTGAAAAAAGAGGAAATTCTAAAGTTAGTTTCCCTAAGTAATAGATTTTTTTTTTTAGGAAATCTAGGTTGAAGAAAAGTACAGTGGCTGAATGCAGCAGCGCAAAAAGGAAAATAACAGTGGGTTACTGAGTTCTCATTCTCTAATAAGGCCAGCTAGGTGGATCATCAGGAGACAGAACACTACAGTTCTGCTCAGAATGCCAAAAGCATATGGAAACCAGTGGATGACCCTGGCGGTCCCACCAACCTGAACATTGAAGACCCAGGGTCAGCGATGTGTTTTCCAACTCTAGAACCAGCCTCAATTCTTTTGCAGGCCCATTACCTATGTGTTAAACATTTCCATTCACGCCCTGCACTTGTTCCTCTGCATCACATGCTGTCATATTACACAATCTCAGAGTCCAGAAGTCGTGACGGTGCAAAACTTCAGGATAGGCAAGTGGTAGTGGTTTCAGAGGAGGAAGAGAAGCATGCTTCTCAGTACAGTTTGGGGTTCTGGCCCATGAAACTAGGGAGTCAAACTGCTGAGGTTATTTCCCCTCTTAGGAGACACTAATAGTGCACATTTCCTCTTTGAGCAAATGACAGATGGCTTTCTAGTACTTCTTGCTTGCCTGAAGAACACAGAATCTCTTATCCTCACAACCTAAATAGCTTTTCTTCTGTATAGTTTTGTATCGAGAGACTTTAACTGTAATCCAGATGAGAAAGCAATTCTGGCCCTTTCCAACCCAATGAGAAAGACTGGAGCACCTCAAAAAGGCAAACGTAGGAGGATGAGGAAAAGTGGTAGAATGTGGGCCTCCCTGGTGGTGCAAGGGGTTAAGCGTCAGCACTCTAAAGCGTCGGCAGTCACTGCAGCACGAGTTTGATCCCTGGACAGGGAGGTGACCCACATGGCGCAGGAGACCTCTCCTGTCTCACCTGCTGCTCCTTTCAGCAGTGTATTTCAGTCAATCTGCCTGTTCTGCTCCCCACTCTGTCTCTGGTGAATCTTCTCACATATACCTCCCTCCCCCGCACCTCTGGCCTGTACCCCACTTCTTGTATACATAAATCTTAAAAAAAAGAAAAAGAAAAAAGAAAAAAGAGTGGTAGAGTAGGGGTTCTAGCTAGATATTTACTTACCACTTTTTGGTTCCCTTCACTGTCAGTGAGCAGCCATTCAATATCCAGGGTGTCTTTTTCTGGGAGTCCCAGCTGGTGGTGACAAGGCAAAGTGACCTTTTCCTCTGCCACTCTCTTGATCTCAGTGTGAGTTCCCAAGGTTCCAATATAGAAGGAAGCTGGAAGAGGAAAACCACTAATGAGTTAGGCAGAAATTGGATGACAATATGAGGGAACAAATGTTACAACCAATAATTATTGGATATTCCTTTGGGTCAGAGGGAACTCAAAGTATTAGAAGAAACCTAGACCAGAATTACTTGAAGACCCAGGGTTTCACACCGGTTCCTCCATTAACTAAATCCATCGTACTTTCTTGAACCCCCTGAATTACCCTTCTACTAAGGCTTTCTTTCCTACCTTACTGGGTTTTCATGAACAATGAAATCACTCAGGTCAACAACTGTGTCATTTGATCTTTCTCTTCTCTACTATTAGAGGCTTCCAAAGGACAGAAACCAAAAGGGAAGGCAGGGGTTGGCATTCTCCCCAGAACAGGCTCCAGAAAGCAGCTCATTCCTTAGAGCCTTCTTAGAGACAAGCTGTCAGCATCCAGGCCTCCAAGTGAGTTCAGGAACGCCTCGCAAACAACCGGCTCTTACAGGTAGCTCCTACTTCTCCCAGAGAAACACAAGCATTTATTTATCCCCCCCAACTTCAGTCCATACATTCTTGGTAGTTTCCTAGTCTATGGCTTAAAACTATGAAGCAACTCTTTCTATCCAAAGTGACATTCTAAGATACTCGGTTTGGATCCTGTCCCTCCATCCATCCAATATCTCTGGCCCATAGGAGCTCAGTTCCACTTCAGGCCTTCTTTACTCTTTATTTTCACCTTTTTTTCCAGAATGGTATTCATCAGCAACTTTGGACTCCATGCTCACTTCCTATTCATCACAGTACCTCACCTTAGTAGTGGCCTAGGCTCTGACACCACTGACTATTAAAGCTACAGAATTAATGACTGATAAATTGATATGCTGAAACCTCACCTGGATCCTAGATATGCTGTGTTTGGTGTTTAAAATGTGCATTAACGATGGAGCCCTCCTTTATCTCCTTACATAGTAACAAAGAAGCTCAGTGTGAAAAATGATCTCTTTCAAGCCATTCACAATGTAACGGAATCATACAACTTCAAAGTTGGAACAGCCTAGGTGCAAGAGCTATGAGAAACCATCTCTCGTGGAGATAACTCCTTGCCACTACAAAGGATCACTTTGGGGCTTCCCTGGTGGTACAGGGGTTAAAGACAGCACTATCAAGCTATGCCAGCCACTGCAGCACCAGCTGGATCCCCGGCAGGCCAGGGAGCAACCACATGGAGCAGCAGACCTCTCCTGCCTCGACCGCTGCTGCCGTCAGCAGAGTATTTAAGTAGATCTGCCTGTTCTGCTCCCCTCTCTCTGGTGAATCCTCTCCCAGCACCTCTGGCTCACACCGTTCTTTTAAAAAAAAAAAAAAAAAAAATTTTATTATTTATTTATTTATTTATTTATTTATGCATACAAGAACTGGGGTGTAAGCCAGAGGTGGGGTGTGTATGTGTGTGAGAGAGGATTCATAGAGAAGAGTGGGGAGCAGAACAGGCAGATCTATTGAAATACACTGCTGAGGGGAACAGCCAGCAAGGCAGGAGAGGTCTGCTATGCCATGTGGGTTGCTCCCTGGCCAGCCTGGAATAGAACTCATGCTGCAGTGGCTGGCATAGCTTGATAGCTCTGTTTTTAACCCCTGCGCCACCAGGGAGGCCCCACACCTCAGTTCTTATATGCATAAATAAACAAATCTTAAAAAACAAAAAAACACAAAGGATCACTTTGACCAAAGGATCACTAAAGACCAAGGATCATGACTGATAGACACATATAAGCTACCTCTTTTATTCTCTGCTCAGGTCTCAAAGTTGATCAGCAGCAAATCTGTGGAAGGAAGAGGACCTGTATTCTTGACTGTGGAAAGATGAAATGAGGAAGAACAGAACAGGAGAGACTGTGGTTCTCTCTATGAGGTGGGGGGCTGGGGAGCTGATTGGGCTGAAACTAAATTGGCAGAGCCCAAGAGGCATCCACCCCTAAGTAGCAGGTGACTTGCTAAACTCAGGGCAAAGAAAGGAGACCCTAGAAATCTGCCTGGTATAAGAATAACAAGATGGGGCCTCCCTGGTGGCGCAAGGGGTTAAGCACCGCACTATTAAGTAATCCGCAGCCACTGCAGCATGAGTTCGATCCCCAGCCAGCCAGGGAGCAACCCACATGGTGCAGCAGACCTCTCCTGACTTGCCTGCTGCTCCCTTCAGCCATGTATTTCCGTCAATCTGCCTGTTCTGTTGCCCACTCTGTCTCTGGTAAATCCACTCCCCCTCCACATCTCTGGCCTGTACCCCAGCTCTTGTATGCATAAATAAATAAATCTTTTAAAAAAAAAAAGAATAACAGTCCTCCCCGGTGGCGCAGTGGTTGAGCGCAGAGTTGTGAAGCTTCCCACAGCCTCTGCAGCGCCGGTTCGATCCCCGGCTGCTCCCCGGCCACCGGAGGAGGTCCCACATGGCACGCAGACCTCTCCTTCCGCCCGCTGCTCCCCTCAGTAGTGTACTTCTGTCCTTCTGCCTGCTCTGCTCCCCGCTCTGGCTTTGGTGAATTCTCTCACCCCCCTGTGCTTCTGACTGTACCCAGTGCTTGTATAAACAAACAAACAAACAAATAAATAAATAAATCTTAAAAAAAAAGGATAACAAGACGATCCCCATGTAGGGTCTTACAGATGTTCTCAAGGTTTCTGTTATTTCTGTTCATAACTTGAAGTTACACTGGTGCTGGGTGCCATTTAAGTGAACACTTCCTCTGGTGTGACCACACTGGGCACTCAACCCTATGAAAACAGAATTATTATCCAAATGTTTTGGTGAAATGTAAAGAGCAACCTGCTCAAAAGCACACAGTTAAGAAGTGACAGGGCAAGGCCCTGACCCCAGATCCGATTCACTGCAGAGCTCACTCTTTGACAATCAGGCCCTCTGTCTAATGTGGCTTTCTAGATGTCTGATTCCCTGTCAGCCTATAAGCTCCTTGAGCTTAAGTCTTTCATCCCTGCATTCCTATAGCACTCAGCCCAGGGGCACACATATTGAGGTGCTCTGTAAATATTTAGTGAATTGATTTGAATCTAACCCATGCACTCATTTTACCAATGAGTAAACTGAGGCCCAGGGATAAAAGAGCCAGTGCAAGTTCCTATAATTCATTTAGTGGCAGAAATAACCTATGCAATAACCTGTTCTCCTTCAGTTCCCATAAAGCAACTACAGCAGCAGCAGAGATTTGTCAGTTTGCACTGTACAAAGCTGAGCTTGAAAGAAGGAGCTCCAGCTTCTCCCCCTGGGCACTTTCCATAGGACACACCAGTGCTCAAATGAAACCAGTGCCCACACCCCAGGCCAAACTAGAGAGCTCAGCCCAGAGGTGGTACATTCAACAGATACTCTGACATTGAATAATAAATGCAAAGAAGAATCTACCAGACTTGCCGACTTAAGCCACTAGAGGGAATCAAAGACTCAGATTTGGTTGATGTCCCAAAAGGAAAGGAACACAGCAGTGGGTGGTGTGCTTTGCCAGAGGGCCAAGTTCTATTTATACCTGATCCAGAATTAAATACAGCAATGCAGGGAGGGGGGCCCTCAGTAAGTTCAACCAACTTTGCCAAGGCAGGGAGCCTCAAGATCAGTGCATAGGCACCTCTAGTCTTCCCTGAACCTCAGTTCCCATACCTCTAAGAGTCCATTCGTATCCCTACAGTTCTATAGCTTAAGTGAACAGGAACCTGGGCTCTGCGTAAACTTTCAGTCTTCCTAATGCTGATGGGGACAGCTGAGCATGTGACTGCCCCCTGGTGAGTGAGAGGTGTAGAGAAACATGACTAACCCAAGTATTTCCTGATTTCTAGACTATGTTTCCTGTTTCTAGACTAAAATATAGAATATAAACTTCTGTAGCAGGGTGTGTGTGGGTATGCAGGTATGCACCTTCCAGCAGTTTCTGTACACAGTACCCAGTGTGGGTGCAATAGAAAAGAGTGTGAGCTTTGGAATCAGATAGACCTGGATTTAAGTCATCGTCAGAAGACCAATTTATTCCCTGATGTCTCTGAGTCTTTGGTTTTCTATGGAAAATGAGAATAAAAACATCCACCAGGAATGATGTTGTAAGGATTAGATATGTCTATCAAGTGTCTAGCACTGGCAAATGATATACAGTACACACTCAATAAGTGATAATTTTTAAAAGAAATGCATGTATTTGTGCATAGAAGAACTGGGTTATAGGCCAGAGATGCAAGGGCTGTGAAAGGATTCACCAGGGACAGAGTGGAGAGCAGAATAGATGGATCTACTGAAATACATTGCTGAGGGGAGCAGCCAGAGAGACAGGAGAGATCTGCTGAGCCATATATGGGCTAGCTAGCTCCCTGGCAGGGATCAAACTCAGGCCTTAGCAGTGACAGTGCTGAGAATTAACCCCTTAGGCCACCAAGGAGGCCCCTAAGTGATAATTATTAATTGTACTTGCTATATTTTATTTTATTTTTTTAAAGATTCATTTATATATTTATACAAGCACTGGGTATAGTCAGAAGCGCGGGAGGGTGAGAGAATTCAGCAGAGACAGAGCGGGGAGCAGAACAGGTAGACAGACAAAGCACACTGCTGAGGGGAGCAGAGGGCATTGCAGGAGAGGTCTGCGTGCCATGTGGGACCCTCCCTGGTGGCCAAGGATCGAACCAGTGCTACAGAGGCTGCGGGAAGCCTCGCAGCCCAGCACTCAACTGCTGCACCACCAGGGGATGCCCAGTGCTTGCTATATTTTAAAAGAGAAAGAAAACCAGAAAAACATGCAGAGGAAGGAGAGCAGGATTATGAGGAGTTTGGAAGTCATTTTGTTTAACTGCCCAGGTTTACCTTATTTCTCTTTTATCTGTACCAGTTGAAAATAAATTATAAGTAGCATGATACTACCACTAAAAGTCTCAACAAACACCTACTAAAAATAAGGATTTTTTCCTATATAACCTCATTACCATGACTAAGAAAATTCATAATATTGCATGGAAGATCATTTCT